ATGACACGGTGATTGACTCTCCAGACTGATAACTTCAAAAAGCCACCTTCTTCGCAAACCGAACCCGAGTCTCATTCCCGTAAAACGAACGTTCTAACCATTTGGGCATACACCCTGCTCCCTCTCTCTACATCCCCCATTCTCTATCTATCTTTACATATATATATATATATATATATATATATATATATATATATGTATGTATGTATATAAAAAAAGAAAGAACAGTAAGATATAAAATCTGGTGTTCTTATAGATATTTTTATTTTTACAAAATAGTGCTCAATGTAAATTTACAGAGCATTAATATCATAAATTAATTGATTTAAAATATGTTTTTTTTCGCTACACAGTTCCAACCATGTTTCAAAAATAGAAGCTAAAAACCCCGAATTTAATTTTGCAATTAAATTAAAAGCATTAGTTCCATTTCATCTTCAAGCGAATTTTGAATGAGAAACTATATATTTATATATATATATTTGGAACTAATCACTGTAAAGTATTGACATCAGCTATGAGTTTACACTGTTTTCATATAAACAATGTTTTTAAGGATGCATAATTATAATGTTCTGCGCTGAATAGATTTTTTTTCTTTTTCTCTTTCATTTTTTTCATTCTTTTTCTGTATTCTTTGCTGTTTTTACCTTAGTTTTTCCCTCCATTCTCTTTGACGTTTTCTTCTTTTCCTTCTCTTTTTCTCGATTTTCTTCTTTTCCTCGTTTTTAAATTTTTGATTGTTCATTTTATTTTTACTACATACTCTTTCTTTCCGTCTCTCTTAATTTTTCAATTTCTGATTTTCTTTCTTCTTTCTACATTCTCTTTTATTTTTTTCTTCTTTCCTTCTCTCTTTCTAATATTCCTTCTTTCTTTCTCTCTTTTTCAATTTTTGGTTTTTCTTTCTTTCTTCCTACATTCTCTTTCTTTTCTTCTCTCTTGCTTACCTTTTCTCTTTTTGCTGTCAGCTTTTGCTTTTTCATTCTTTTTTTTATACATTCTCTTTTTCATTTCTTCTTTTCTTCGCCCGTTCTCTCTTCTTTCTTTCTTTCTTTCTTTCTATTTCATTTTTTCTTTTATCTTTCTTTCTTTCCATATTTTCTTCATTTTCTTGTCATTTCTTTTTCTTATTTCAAGTTTTGCTTTTTCATTCTTTTTTCTACATTTTCTCTTTCTTTCTTTCTTTCTTTCTTTCTTTCTTTCTTTCTTTCACGCCTTTTTCAATGTTTGTTTTTTCTTTCTTCTTCAATTTTTTGATTTTTCTTTCTTTTGTCTAAATTCTCTTTTTTCGTTTGTTCTTTCTTCACTCTTTCTATTCGTCTTTCTTTCTCACTTTTTCAATTTTGTTATTTTTCTTTCTTTCTACATTCACTTTCTTCTCTTCTCTCTTTCTTTCCTTCTCCATTTCTTCTTCAATTTTTACTTTTTCATTCTTTTATCTTCATTCTCTTTTTTACTTCTTTTCTTTTCTCTTTCCTTATCTCTTTCTCACTTTTTCAACTTTCATTTTATTCTACAGTCTCTTTCTTTCTTTCTCTTCTTCTTTCTTTCTTCCTTTTTATTGCCTTCTCCCTTTCTTTCTTTCTTTCTTTCTTTCTTTCTCAATTTTTTGTTTTTTCTTTCTTTCTTTATACACTCCCTTGCTTTTCTTTATTCTTTCTTTCCTCCTATCTTTCTTTTTCTATCTTGCTTTTTCATTCTAACTTCTACATTCTCTTTTTTATTTTCATATTGTCTTTTCTTTTTGTTCTCTTTCGTTCTTTCTTTCTCTCCTTTTTCAATTTTAATTCTTTTCTCCTATATTCTCTTTCTTATTTTTCTTTCTTTCTTTCTTTCTTTTCTTCTTTTTTTCTTTATTTATTTCTTTCTTTCTTTTCTTGTTGCTTTATTTTCTTCTCTCTTTCCTTATTTCTTTATTTTTTCCCCATTTTTTCCATTGTTTTTTCTTCTTTCTTTCCTTCTCTCTTTCTTTCCTTCTATCTTCTCTTCTTTCTTTCTTTCTTTTCTTCTTTCTTTCTTTCTTTCTTTCTTTCTTCAGTCACGTCGTCGTCTGTTGACAAAACAATGGGCAAATGATTGGCGTGCCGTATCTGGAGAGTGATTTTTACAGAATCCGTCCGTCTGAAATAACACACTTCTCTTGACTGCTTTGCAAAAATTAATAGATTATCGTTTAAGGGAGGAGAGAGAGACCCTTAAAAAGGGAACGAACGAACAAACGAACACATTTTTTTCGTCATGTTTAAATCAATTTCGAAAGGCTTGCCACCATATATTCATAGGATTCAGCACAAAACATAACCTTACGGCTGAAGAATGGCTCTACTGAAACGTCTGGTTAATGTACAATTTCATATCACTAGCGATTAAGAACTCCTGATCACGAATATGTAAAATAAATAAATAAATGTTATGAAATTTAAAAGGAAGGGGGTTCAGTTTGCTATGTAAATTAATCGTAAACTGATCCCCCTACAGAAGCCGAAACAAAATACGCTCATACGACATGTTTTATTGAAATATCCCGATCGGTTCTTTACAGTTACTTACACGCAAATATCCTTGGGAAAGGTATAAATCTATTTCATCTCCCCCCCCCCACCAGCTATAGATTAGAAAGTATGCCTTGTATCTGGAAAAAATATTGTTATTTTCAAAAATTTATTGAGGAAAGATCGATACGCAAAAAAAAAAAAATTCTTAAAATTCAAAATATGTTTCGGTTTTAATCCACAAATGGTTGATAAACCGTAAAAAATGAATCAATCATTTTATTAAAATGTAAAAAGACGGTGGAGTAATGGATACAGGCTCGGATTAAGGAATCGGAGAGCCGAGTTCGAATTTCACTCAAATCATTCAAATTTCAGCTAATTATATTCACTTACATGCTAATACCCTTGGAAAAGGTATGTATCTTGGTCTACCATAGAAAAAAAATGGCAACCTACTGCGGGAAAAAATCTACCTCGTCAGTCATGTATCGAAAGATACATGATCGCCTAAGCGTGTATCACGCATGGCACATAACTGAATGACTGAAGAATAAAATTATCTTTTTAAAATAATAAATTGGAGTGCTTAATTGATAAGAGGTTATGAAGAAAAGGACTCTAAATTACGAATTTACAAAAATAAATAAATAAATAAAAATATTTTAAAAATTTTAAGAAATCACGTTGTTTGAATGTTTTGTTTTGGCTTCCGTACAATAAATCCTTGTCGGGTTCGTTACATTCGCTTACAGGCAAATATCCTTGGGGATGGTGTGAATCCAACTTTTTTCTCCCAGCTATGGGTTAAATAGCTGGGCAGAAGTTCCTATACCCTTGGTTGGCAACCAGTCTACCGCAGAAAGAAACGCCAGCCTACTGCGGGAAAATCTTTTGCCAAGTCATTGATGAATCCAAAGAGACATGATCGCCCAGCTTGAATCCCCGATAACACTTAATTTACTAACAATAAATGTACATAGGAAAATAAAACTACCAATTAATTTTTATAAACTTTTTCTTTTTATATTCTTGGTTTGAGAGTCTAGTGATAAAGAAAATTTTGAAAAAAAGATTCTGGAAAAAATAAAATTCTTGCAATTTATAAAATTGGCATGACTTTATAAATCCTTCAAATACTGATAAGTCTGGCACAGGATGTGTTGTTTTGAGATTGTGATGGCTTTTCTAACTTATTAATTACAGTTTTTTTTACTTTTATTCAAACATCGAATCATAATCAATCACTTTTGCGGAAACTTATGTAAGAATCTACAAAGATATATTGTTTTGGAAATAATTTAATAGACTCTTCTTCTCTTAAAAAATGGGGAAAGGTTTTTTCAGGGTATAATTTGTGTTGATAAACATTCATTAGACCTTACTCAACCATGACACTTTTTAGTATGGAAAAATAGGGATTTTTATCGATTTAAAAGCGGTGTCCTGTTCCAAACTTAGATGTAGTATAAAATCGATTCCATAGTTTGCATAGTTATTGGACTTATCTGTTATTTATGAATGTCAAGTTTGAAACTGCTTGGATCATTGATGTCTGTATTTTTTCTTAAATTTTTTAGTTGGAATTTTCTCGAACGCACATTGAGGATAATAATAATAATCGATCTTTTATAATTTTATGTAAATTTTTGTTGTTCTTTTTTATCATTTCACCCCAAGGAAGGCGCTAATGCCATGAGGGTGCAAGGTGTTACTGGGGGAGAAGGTGAATGAAAAGAGTTTAGGGAGGAGAAAGGACGATAAAAGAACAGGTTTCAGGAAAAAAGAAGATAGCGATTGGCATTGGGTTTAATTTTTGAAGATTGTAGGTGGCAGAGGAGCAAGAAATCCGGGAAGGGGAGTCCCAGAAGCGAGAAGTGCGAGAAAATTAATTATTAGAATAGAACATACGTTTACATCAAGCTAGTTTAAAAGTAAAACGGTGAGACCTAATTGCCAGCCAAGGAGCACGCGTAAATTCATTCAGCCGAGCCACCAAGGAGAAGAGCTCATCAGAACTTTATTATAATATAGAGTATTTACTTCAATATTTGTATCCATAAAAAGAATGTATAAACATAAAAATGTCTTAAAATAATGGTCGGACTTTGTCCATTTTTTATATATATATATATATATATATATATATATATATATATATATATATATATATATATATATATATAGATTACTAGACTCGTTTTGAAAAACCCTCGAATTTTTGATTTGCTAATCAAATCAATCTCGAGGGAAAAAAAGGTTTTAAAAAAAGAAAGAGCTACAAACATATATATATATATATATCCTTTCGCTCTCTAAAATAAATGTTTTTGTAAAGAAAAGTGTCTGTTTTCGTGCGCAGAACAAAAAAATCTTGACAACTCTATAAAAAGTCAGGAATCGATTTTAGACTGCAAAGACATTGTGAACAGGATTCTACTTTTAAGACGATAAAGCGTCAACATTTTTCGATTCTGCCAAGTGTCACACCAAACGAATTGTTATCCACAAAAATTATTTCCCAAAATATTTTCCTTATTGTTTTTTTCTTTTTAATATTGAACCAGACTACCTAAATAGTGACAATGTTTTGTTTGGTGCGAGAATGTATTTAGTTTCTTGTAAATAGTTTTTTATTCATATTGTAAATACACATTGGGGTTTAGATTTTAAATTGTTATTATTCAAATCACAGACGAGAATTGTACATATGGGGACTAGTTACGACTCCATAGAGACACTGAAGCATTATGGAGTTTGTAGTGAGAATGGTAAGTAAGAATGCGTTGTTTTGGTATTAGGAATATTGTGGTATGTTTGGGTCAGTGTTTGTCGCTAGCTAAGTTTAAAGTTAAGACAGAAGATAGACCGTCCTTTTTCCCCAATTTGGCCTTGTGCCACGTATTGTATATATTATACGAGTAAATATTGGGATGTCTAAAGAAGTTGGAAGAGTGTATTGTGTCAATCTTCCAAAAAGAAAGAAACTAACTTGAAATATTTGCTTGGTAAATTCTAGCTTTGTCACATATCGAACATGGGAAACAATGAGAAACAATGAGAAACAGACAGCTAGAATAGACTTTAAAAGCAAATATATTGAGGCTTTGGGTGGAGACCCTGGGTTAAAAAAAGGATTTAATCTCTTTTGTGGTATTTTAGAAACTGCGGATATAAATAATCGCGTTTTCAAATTTGTTATCACAGACAACGAATATCATTTTATTAATATTTTTTTTAAGTTAACAGGACTTCATATGGAAGACAAAACAAAGATACTCATATGAAGTGATATTCTAAGATGAAAAACTATTTTACATAGCAAACTGGAATCCTTGTAATATTTTATTGATTATTATTATTGTATATTTTTGTTCTTCATTTTTAATATTCTTGATGTGGAGTGCTTACCCTATAGAGACATGAAAAAAGAAAATCGAAAAATATGTTTATTTCTGGTTGAAGTGGTAATTGTACAACTCCAGCCATCTTTTCTCTGACATACTCTATACACAAATAGAAAGGAAGAGAATTGCAAGCACACACACAGTTATCATGCACTCATAAAGTAAATATCTACGCACAGCCAGATAGATAGATAGATAGATAGATAGATAGATAGATAGATAGATAGATAGATAGATAGATCAAAAAGACTGAGCGATGGATAGATAGATAGATACGAAAGGACTGAGATGGAATAGATAGATAGAAAAATAGATAGATAGATAGATAGATAGATAGATAGATAGATAGATAGATGGAACAGAAAGAGACTGAGATAGACAGGTATATATATATATATATATATATATATATAGATAGATAGATAGATAGATAGATAGATAGATAGATAGATAGATAGTGATAAACAAACTGGGATAGGTTGGTCGACATGTAAACTAGTGTTGGGCTATCTAATATCAAATTTTGTACGGGACACCCAGTGAGGATCAAATTCACTATTCCGTTGCAATGGTCAACGTGACACACTCCACTAAATCATTATGCCACTGCGTGGTGCATAAGTAGATAGATACATATATGCATCGCACATACACACATGCATACATGTGGACAAATAGATAGATAGATACATACATATTACATACATATGAACAGACTTAAATACATACATACATACATGCATACATATTACATACATATAAACAGACTTACAAGCATACATGCATTCCTACATATATGCGTGTGAACAAATAGATAGATAGATAGATAGATAGATAGATAGATAGATAGATAGATAAAGGGCATATTTATAAACCGATATTGATAGGGTATAATCATATAACACCGGATACAGATAGCTATTTAGATATATAGAAACACATATAGTTAATCATATAGGTAATTAGGTATTTGGGCAGCAATCCTTCTTTTATACAAGTTTTATTAAAGTACCTTGTTAGTCGTCTTTAATGAAAATTATATAGGCATCGTTGTATATATACGTTCATACATACATACATACATGGTCAGACTGACATAGATAGATAGATAGATAGATAGATAGATAGATAGATAGATAGATAGATAGATAGATAGATGTAAACAAACTCAGACTTT